TTATTGACACACTATTTTCCTAATTAATGCTGTTCAGTTGCTTTGACACAATCTGTATTGTTAAAAGCGCTATATAAATAAAGGTGACTTGACTTGACTTGACACTCCCACACACTCAACACGCACACACATTCACACTCACATTCACACTCGCACTCACACACACTCACTCACACACTCACTCACTCGCACACTCACATGTACACACTCACATACACACTCACTCACTCTCACGCACTCACTCACACGCACTCGCGCACACACTCACTCACTCACACACACACTCTCACTCACTCACTCACCGTACACACTCACTCACTCTCACGCACACACACACGCACACACTCGCACGCACGCACACACACTCTCACACATACTCACTCGCACGCACACACACTCACTCACACGTACACGCACTCACTTCCGCACGCACTCACTCACTCACTCACACGCACTCACTCACACACACACACACGCACTCACACACACACACACACACACACTCACTCACTCACACTCACACGCACGCACTCACTCACACTCACACACACGCACTCACTTCCACACACACGCACTCACTTCCACACACACGCACTCACTTCCACGCACTCGCACGCACACACGTACTCACTCACTCACATACACTCACACACACTCACTCACTCACATACACACACACTCTCACACATACACTCACACACACTCACTCACACACACTCACTCACACACACTCACTCGCACACACGCACGCGCATGCACACACTCACTCACTCACATACACTCACGATCACACCTCCTTCCTCAGACCTGCTTTAACCTGAAAACTCTCTCTCTCAGACACAAGAAAGAGAAAAAGAAGGATAAAGACCGCGAGAGAGACCGTGACCGAGACAGGAAGGATGATTGGGACCGAAATCGGGACAAAAGCGAACGTTCCTCCAGCAAGAAGAGCAAGGACAAGGACAAGGACAGAGACCGAGACCGAGACAGAGACAGGAAGTCCGACAGTGAGAAGGGAGATGTGAAGGTACCACTGTCTTGCGTTCACTAACCAGTCAACAACTGCGCTTTACATCCTACAGACCTGCCAACCTGTATGCATTTGACCTCAAAGTACGCTGGTACGATTCGTCACTCTAAACTCCACAAACCGCAGAAGATGAAGAGTTTGACCAATCAGAGCGTTTAGTTTTTCTTCTTTTTCGGTTTTGCGCAGGGCTGGGCGATGATAATTATCATGATAAATACCAAATCTTTTAAGTTTAAAGCCAGATTTTTGCTCAAATGAAACTAGACCAATAATTTTCCTTAAAATAAATATCTTCATAGAAAAATTAATTTCTTAGTTTCCGTATGTTCAAATGAGTGATTGTTTCAAATCAAGAAACAGGTCTGTGTTGTCTGTTGATAATAATATAACATTATAGAAATACACATTTGATAGTATCCTGAGTTAGGATGCAAATGTAGATTTATGTTCATTATCAAAATCAGTAACAGCTGTGAGTATTGTAGCAATCTCATTTTTTTCAAATTTTATATAATTTTTTTATTAATCATTGGTCTTCCATAGTAGCATACATTTAAATCATGATAAACAGTTAAAACATCACATCTAGCACACCTCAATACCATGGTAAAATATACTATAATTATATTCCATTACTCCTATAATAAAATTTAATATAAATATCCCACATTTCTGTAAAAAAGGCAGAACTATCCTGAACTAAGTGTGATTTTTCTCTAAATCAGGTCTGCTGACTCTATCTTTTTTTTGTGTGTGTGTGTCTGATTCCAACGAGTCAGATATCATTCTGAAGGTGTTTAATGGAGAATGTGAACATAAAAATAACTAATTTTTGAAAATGTGCTCATTGCGACTCATTTTGCCAGATGCAAGCTCCTCTCCTCACTTTTTTGAGATCAAAATAGGTCACCTATGAGACTTTTTTTAATATTCAGTTATGAAAAGGTAGACTGGTGTTATTTGTATTGGAAAAGTAAGACTGATAACCACTTGGCAACTAGTAAGTTTTGCATAGCATTTTCTTTACTCTTTACTCTTAAAGCTGTGTCTAAAAGGGTAATATTTGATGTATTTGAGGTCAGAGATGTGTGAACGCTGAAGAAGAGAGAGAGGGCAAACATTTAGCATTTCAGCTCAGCATTGCCGTCTAATCAGCTAACATTGTTTTAAAGGGATAGTTCACCCCAAAAATGAAAATTGTCATTAATTACTCACCCTCATGTCGTTCCACACCCGTAAGACCTTCGTTCATCTTCAGAACACAAATGAAGATATTTCTGATCAAAGCCGATGGCTCAGAGAGGCCTCCATTGACAGCAACGCCACCCAAACTCTCAAGATCCGTAAAGGTACTAAAGACGTCGTTAAAACAGCCGATGTGACTACGTGACTCTACGTCCGAACGCCGGCTCATTATTAGCCAAAGCTGCACATGTGAGCAGCGCGACGCATGCGTGTGATGCTGATGCAGGAGCCGTCCAATAATGAGCCGGCGTTCTGACGTAGAACCTGGAAGCGCTAGATGTAAACAACGTATGAGAATGACACCGAAGAGAAGAGGTTGTTGAATAAAGTTGTTATTTTTTTGTTTTTTGTGCACAAAAAGTATTCTCGTCGCTTCATAAAATGATTGTAGAACACTGTAGTCACGTCGACTGTTTTAACGACGTCTTTAGTACCTTTACGGATCTTGAGAGTTTGGGTGGCGTTGCTGTCAATGGAGGCCTCTCTGAGCCATCGGATTTGATCAGACCATGTGCAGCATATGCCCCCAGTTCTCACCGTTTTTCCCGCTTCCCTGTTGACATCTCTGTACTCAAAAAAACAAAATGTCCAAGATCTGCATTCTAGCCCGGCTTCTGAGTTCTGTCTCTGTTCCGCAGGTGACCAGGGACTACGATGAGGAGGAGCAGGGCTACGACAGCGAGCACGAGGAAGAGCGCGAGAGGAACTCAGACGCCGCCTCGTCGCCGCAGGCTAAAGAGCCACTAGCAGACAGCGCAGATGACGCGGCCCGCGGAGAGTCGGACGGACACAGCGAAGACCAGCGAGACGAAGACATGGACATGAGCGACTGAAGCAGCCCACGGATCAGTGTTTGAGTGTATTGATTAACAGAGTTCAGACGGAGATCAGTCTGAAAGCTTCCTCTCTGAACTCCTTCATTCCTCGTTTTTTAAAATTCTGCATCCTCAGAATCTGCTGTATTTACTGGTACACGCTCATCTGGGTTTTAGAGCGGTTTCTTCTCTCATGGCTGATGTGGAACGATGTTATACTGTATATTTAGTGTAGACCGTTAAAAAATACACCCATTCGCTATGTCTGTTTGCAGTTTCTATTTAAACGAATTACCCCTAATTAAAAGTGCTTGGATAACATTGTCAAGCAGTGGTTTTTTTCTCCTTTTAATACAATTGCATTTGTTTTTTTACAGTTAGCCTGAGTTAGTTTGTCTTTTTAAACTCGCAGAATGTTTGTGGAACTCTAGTAAACTGGATTACTTTTTCTCGCAGGTCATTCGACAGTCCAGCTGTATCTACCGCAATGTGTTTTTCCGTAGTGTGAACACACGCCGCCATAGACCGTAGTTTGCTAAGAAATGACTTATCTGTACTGTTTGCAATGTTACAACTGAAAATAAAACTTCATATAAAATTCTTGTCCTCTTGTTCCTTCAAAACCACATTGCTAGGGCTGTTAGAGGGATGTGAAACACTTAATTATATTTTCTGAGATTTTAACAAGTGTTGCACGCCAGAAGACAATGTTAGCATCCGTTAATTTTTGTTGTTGGAGAGAACGGGAAATTAATAATACAGCATAGAATGGTGAGCAGATCTTATGTTTTCAATTTGTAAAGCGCAACAAATATATTTTGATAATTTAATGACGTTTTGGTTGTAATCGAATGCAAATATTCTTGAATATGTCAAGTTTTTGCGCGCGCTTTCAGTAATGGCGCGAAATTCTGAGGCGAGGCTGTTCGCAGGTTATTATAATTAAGTAATATCAGCACAAAATTAAAGGTCTGTTCATACCATCAACGATAATGTTAGCGTCCACACCAACGTGTTGTTTATTGGAGTTTTTTTTTTTTTTAGCTTTAAATGCTCTAGATCTTTTAAGAAGGTGGTTTTTTTATATTCTTAACTGTTTTAATTCATTTTAAATCATTTAAAAAATACATTCCTTGTTTTATTGTTGTGATTATTTTTTAAAGATTATTTAAATGTGCTATATGCTTGCCTTGCCTATTTTGAGATAATTACTCGGAGTGTACAAGGCCTAAAAATATGAAATATCGATTTAGGTTTAAATTGTTATACTTTTACCTGTATCTTACCTTAAAGCTGCCGGTGAGACAAAAGTAGTCCATTACAATATACAAAACAATCAGCACTGCAAAATACTGCAACAAAAAATAATATTAATACTCAGTCCTCTCGAGACGACGGTTGTGTGAGGCGTGGTCAGCGGTTTGACATACAGCGTTGCTATTGACGACGTGAATATTTGAACATATTTTTCCCGCGGCTGACCAATCAGAATCAAGTATTCCAGAAAGCCGCGAAATACGAATAGTTCTCAAGCAAGCGCATTATTTTAGTACTACTAGTTGCTGGTAACAGCTTTTCTGATATTGGCTTTCTAGAACTTGTCAGGACATTGAGAAATTTTTTTTAAACAAAATGTTTTACAAACTGCATCAAAGTTACTTCATTAATTTCTAAAAGTTTTATTTTTAAATACTTAAGAGCAATTATATGAGGATACTTAAATTTCACCCCAGTACATTTGAACTTTTACACAGTACCCCTACTTTAGGTTAAGTATATTTTTCTGTATTATTTTTAACCCATTAAGCACCCTCATGAGTTTGAATCCTTAAGAATGTTATGCAAGGCATCAATATCTTGCTAATTAAGACAGTTTGACCAAAACACATCCTCACAAAAGACTGATAACATTGGACAGACTGGACATTTTATTAATTGCAATTTGTCGTGTAAAAGTGCAGCAGGTTCATACGAGGTTCCTGCTGTACATCCGAGAGTTCAATGCATTTGGGAGAAAATCTGAAGAATTACTGAAGGCATAAAGCAACTCTAAAAACAATGACATGAAACACAGGGAAAAAAAGAAGCTGGTAACATAACAAAAATAAAAAAGGAAAACGGCAAAACACGTGAGTTTCCACACTAGCCAGTAGTGGGTCGTGGAAGCGTCGCAGCACGTTTCTATTTGGATAAGGACAACTGAAACACACGAGACATAAGAGAGGAAACTTTCCAACGGGATATTGCTGGTGCAAACGTGACGCGAGCTCCTTTTCCCTCGGCACACAGCAAACACACACATAAAACACTTATCTCGAACGTCTCCGAAACATTTTACACTAATATCTCAATAAACATAGTCGTCAGTTATACATCAATCAGTTATACATCAGTCGATTATACTACATTGGAAAACATATTTAAATTTGAATGTATTTACATCCATCTATCAAGGTGAAAGTAAAGTGAAAGTCCCGTGCGTTTCTGCTACATTTACATCCGGTCCAGTCCGATCCTCCACTAGGACGTGAGAAAGCAAATGATCCGAACAAACATACAGTGAAGGGCAGAGTGAACAAGCCCATTTCCCATAATGCAACAAGCAAACGAACTGGAGAAGGAAGTGGTATTTACACAAAGTTTGTAGAAATGACATAGACATTGTATTCTGTGACGGGTTTCATACAATTCAAATCATATATAGATGACTTCCGCTTTTTTCCTAAATGTACACGTTTCCTTTAAGTGAAGTATACAAGTTTGTAACAGTTGTACAAAGATTTAAATGAAAACTCGGCTTGTGTAATAATTTATTAATGCCGTATTTCCTGCCAGTTACAGAGGTGATGTGAAGCGACGCTCCGTGTTTCTAACGTACCGCTTCATCATGTAGTGCAGCTGCGCTCCGCTTCGGATTCACACTCGCTTCAGCACGATCCCTTTGTGTGTTCGTATGACGTCAGGTATTTCCTACACGTGTCCATCTGCACTGGTCTGGACTCAGAAGTTTGACCGGAGGAGATGGAGACGGGGTGAAGCGGGATGGGGAGCGGCTCAGAGGTCTGGGAAGCGGCTGGGATCCTCCTTGTAGTCGTTGGGAATCGTAAAAATGGAGTCGTCGAACTCGTCGTAGCGGAACTCCTGAAAGGTCACGGTGGCAGTGATGGTGGGGAAAACGGGGATGTCTGGAAGAGAAGCACATCATCATCAGAACATACAGCAGATGATGCTGCGTTCACATTACTATGGAATGAATCCAAATGAATCCACATTCATCTTTTTGGTCAAATGCATCATCACTGCATTAAATCATCTTCATATTATTTTACAAAATCCTAAAGAACCAAACAAGCACTTCAGGCAACATCAACTATAATAAAACAATACAAACTGCCATTCTGGTTATTTTTGCATCACAATGATCAAGTGGCAGATATTGGAGATTTACATTAATCTTTGTTTTTTTTAAAAATTACATTAGTTACAACAGTGTATTGTTTACAGTGTATTTTACAGTTTATTAGTTTACAATGTATTGTTTACCATTTATTAGTTTACAATGTATTGTTAACAGTGTATTTTACAGTTTATTAGTTTACAATGTATTGTTAACAGTGTATTTTACAGTTTATTAGTTTACAATGTATTGTTTACAGTGTATTTTACAGTTTATTAGTTTACAATGTATTGTTTACCGTTTATTAGTTTACAATGTATTGTTTACAGTGTATTTTACAGTTTATTAGTTTACGGTGTATTGTTTACCGTTTATTTATTTATAATGTATACAGTGTATTTTACAGTTTGTTAGTTTACGGTGTATTTTACAGTTTATTAGTTTCCATTTATAGTTTACATTGTATTTTACAGTTTATTAGTTTACAATGTATTGTTTACAGTGTATTTTACAGTTTATTAGTTTATGGTGTATTTTACAGTTTATTAGTTTCAATTTGTAGTTTACAGTTTATTTTACAGTTTATTAGTTTACGGTGTATTGTTTACCATTTATTAGTTTACAATGTCTTGTTTACAGTGTATTTTGCCGTTTATTAGTTTACAGTGTATTGTTTACAGTTTATTTATTTATAATGTATACAGTGTATTTTACAGTTTATTAGTTTACAATGTATTGTTTACAGTGTATTTTACAGTTTATTAGTTTATGGTGTATTTTACAGTTTATTAGTTTCAATTTGTAGTTTACAGTGTATTTTACAGTTTATTCGTTTACGGTGTATTTTACAGTTTATTAGTTTCAATTTATAGTTTACATTGTATTTTACAGTTTATTAGTTTACAATGTATTGTTTACAGTGTATTGTTGATTAGTTTCAATTAAACAATGTATTGTTTACCGTTTATTAGTTTACAATATATTGTTTACAGTGTATTTTACAGTTTATTAGTTTACGGTGTATTGTTTACCATTTATTAGTTTACAATGTCTTGTTTACAGTGTATTTTGCAGTTTATTAGTTTACGGTGTATTGTTTACCGTTTATTAGTTTACAATATATTGTTTACAGTGTTTAAGTTTAAGTTAGTTTACACACACACACACACATATATATATATATATACATACAAATATACATATATATTTCTATATATACACACACACATACAAAGAAAACGAGTACATAGAATAGAAAAAGAATATAGAAAGCTAGTGTTAGAGTTTTTTTCTTTTTCTTTAAGGGGTCATCGGATGCAAAACTCACTTTTACATGTTGTTTGAATATGAATGTGTTGGCAGTGTGTGTACACAACCAACCTATAATGTTAAAAATCCACCCAGTTTTTTTTAAATCCCGATAAATCATATCCCCTTTCTCAGATCAAGCCGTTCTCAGATTGTTGGCAGAGTGACGTCACACAGACCCAGGCTCCTCCCACGATTGTTGATTGACACTGCTGTTGGATGTAACTTTATATTGCATTAATTTAATTATTAATAAAAAAAAAAAATAATAATAATGTTCAATTCTTAGTACCCCCGTAGAACTGGTCCTGCATTTACCTAAAGCAGTGCTTTCCAACCTTTTTTACTCCAAGAGCCTTTTCTATTCACTAAAAAACATTTGTATTCTAGTATTATTACTTTTCAATTACATGTAATTACTTTTAAACAAAACATTCAAGATAGATTCAAACATTCCGTGTTCTTTTTTGCAAACATACTTTGCAAAAATGTCACTGCAGATATTCTATACAAGTACGTAAAGCTCAATTACACAGTAATTTTAACAAATAAGCACCAAGTCAACTTGCAATACCAAACAAGACCACAGGGAGATGCCAAAGGACTGCATATAAACTACTATATGGCTCCATTCAGAATCACTAAACGCACCAAAATACAAATGAAAAATGCAACCATTCTGAATGTGTGGAAACTCATCGTCGCCTTTTAGACTTTTCATTAAGACCTTAAAGAACCATATCAACTTATGAAAAATGGGCATCCGATGACCCCTTTAAAGAAAAACAAGCAGTTAGAAAACGAATAGAGAGTGCAACTGATAGAGGGTCAAGTGTTTAATAAAAAAAAGAGAACAAATAGATAAGACAGAATTAGAATAGAGTGTGCAAGAGTCAGAGTTTATGCTACATGTATCTGTTTACCTAGTTTGACAGGAAATCCAGGCGGAAGCTTCATCTGAACAAATTCTCTGAGTTTATTAAAGTGCTTGAAGGGTGCGATGACCTCCAAGACATTTAACAGCCTGTAAAACAAGTCGTGATCAGTAAGAACCAGCGCATGGACGTCGCCAGGAGTCTGCAGAGCGGGACACTTACGACTCGATGCTCAGAGGGAAGTCCTGACTCATGGCTACGGTTGCTTTGAAGTTCTTCTTGCTCTCTTTGCACACGAGCTCTCGGCCCAGATGAGGAGCCCTAGAAGAGAGCAGACATGAGCAGTGCGTTTGGCTCGTGTTTGCGTACAGCCCTGTTCAGACGGCAACTGTTTCTCATTTGGACGTCTGTAAAAATACATTTACATATCACCTCAGTGATAAAACTGGTGGATTCGGATGGCGATCTATTCACAGTGGATGTAAAATGTATTTTAAAAATATGTATTATTATGTTATTTCATGATATGTAATCCTATTTATTATTTGATCGCCTGTTTAAAAATAGGAAAATAGACTATATACTATATATATACTATAGCTATTATATAGTTGAATATAATTATACGTTATATACACTACCGGTCAAAAGTTTGGGATCAGAACGATTTTAATGTTTTTTACTTCTGCTCATCAAGGCTGCGTTTATTTGATCAAAAATACAGGACAAAATGTACTATTGTGAAATATTATTATGATGTAAAATAACATTTTTCTATTTTAATGTACATTAAACTGTAATGTATTTCTGTGATGTGCAGCTGTATTTTCAGCATCATTACTCCAGTCTTCAGTGTCACATGATCTTCAGAAATCATTCTAATATGCTGATTTATTATCAGAGCTGGAAACTGTTGCTGCTTCATATTTTTTT